CTTTCTTCGGCCCCCAGAGTATTTACAAAGGTTCTGGCGACTCTCGCCGCACACCTGCGGACAATTCCGGTGCGCATCCAATATTATCTGGACGACATTCTCATCCAGTCCTCATCAGTCCAGGTGGCGCAGTCAGATCTAACACTGACCCTAAGGGCCCTTCAGGAACATGGGTTTTCAATAAATTTCCAGAAGAGTCAAACAGTCCCATCGACCCATCTCCTTCATCTGGGAGCTGTGATAGATACACTAAGGTGCGAGGTCTACCTCTCTCGAGAACACCAAAACAGCATTCGAACCCTGGTCAGGCAAATTCGAGGGAAGGGGACCACCACACTGGCCACACTCTCCAGCTTGCTAGGCAAAATGATATCATGCATAGCAATCGTGCCGTGGGCACGGCTACACTCCAGAGACCTGCAGTGGTTCCTACTCCCATTTCAAAAAGTGGGAACCGGCACCTCCAACCAAAGGGTAAGGGTGCCACTAAGGGTTCTGAAATCGCTCAAGTGGTGGTTGTCCCCAGCGATGGTAAAGGGACACATATTCAAGGAAACCGCCTGAGTCACTCTGACTACGGATGCCAGCCTGTTCGGTTGGGGAGCGCACCTGGATTCACAACTGGCACAGGGCCAATGGTCCAGAGGAGATTTAAGACACAACATAAACTGGTTGGAGCTCAGAGCCATACATCTGGCCCTTCGTCACTTTCACAACGCAGTGGCAGATCAGCACGTCCTAGTTCTCACGGACAATGTGGCAGCCAAAGCCCACATCAACCGACAGGGCACGCGGTCCAGGGCCCTCATGACCGAGGCCCAATCGCTGGGAACCTGGGCCGAGAACAACCTAGTCTCCCTCAAGGCTGAGCACATATCAGGAGAAGCAAATCAACAGGCAGACTTTCTGAGCAGGGCAACGGTAGACCACTCAGAGTGGAGCCTGCACCCTGCTCTCTTCAGAGAAGCAACAGAAAGGTTCGGCCACCCAGTACTGGACTTATTTGCCAGCCCCAAGAATGCTCAGCTCCCGAGGTTCTTCTCCCATTTTCCGTCACCGGGGGCGGAGAGAGAAGATGCGCTCCAGGGGCATTGGCCGGAGGGGTTGCTATACGCCTTCCCACTGCTTCCTCTGATACAAGCAACAATCAGAAAGATATTGCAGGAACAAGCAGAGGTGATACTCATTGCACCACACTGGCCAAGACGGCCGTCGTTTGCCAACCTCATAAGTATTAATATATCTCCTCCATGGAGGATTCCGCATGATCAAATCCCCCTCAGTCAAGGGGCTCTACTACATCCAGAGCCACAGTGGCTCCAATTAGCCGCCTGGCACTTGAACGGAGCCTCCTAGAAGGGGAGACCTTTTCACAAAGAGTGATTAAGACAATCCAGGCCTCAAGAAGGCCTACAACTAACAGAATTTATGACTCCACGTGGAAAAATTATTGCAGCTGGTGCACAAGATAGCAGCTAGACCCCTTTAGTATTTCTATCCCAAGGATCTTAGACTACTTAGCCGAGGGTCTGGATAGGGGCTTAGCACCCAACACAATTCGTAGACAAGTGGCCGCCCTATCCACTATTCTTACATACGGCAACTCTGAACCACTAGCCAGGCATCCAGTGGTGCGATCCTTCATTAAGGGCGCAACAAGCAACAGACCACCCGTGGTCCACAGATATCCATCCTGGGATCTGTCTAAGGTCCTACAGGCCATTACCTCATCTCCATTTGAACCTGTCTGGACCTGCACGTTACAATACTTGACCCTTAAGGTCGCATTTCTGGTTGCTGTTACTTCAGCAAGGCGCATTTCAGAGTTGGCAACATTATCAATTAGAGAAGATCTCTGTACCTTCCACACTGACAGGGTGGTCCTACGTTTGGACCCCTCCTTCATTCCCAAGGTCAATTCCCTATTTCACAGGGCACAGGAAGTGGTGCTATCAGATTTTTGCCCTCAGCCCTCCCATGAATTGGAGCACAAATGGCACACCTTAGACTTTTGCAGGGCCTTAAGACAATACATTAAGTGAACGGCACCCTTCTGCAAATCGGAAGCCCTGTTCGTTTCCTTCCACTCACACTCAAGAGGTCGAAAGGTCACAGCATCCACAATCGGCAGATGGATCAGGAAGTGCATAGCAGAGGCATACCAGGGGCAGTCGCTAGCAGTCCCCAGACAAATCACTGCATACTCCACTCGCAGCGCTGCCATATCAGCAGCGTGGGCGACTCAGGTACTGATTGAGGAAATATGTAGGGCGGCAACGTGGGCGTCACCTTCCCCCTTTATAAGACACTACAAGTTAGATAGGTTTGCATCAGCGGAGGCCTCATTTGGCAGGAGGGTCCTCCAATGCGTAGTATCAGAGAGTGGGACACAGGCCCAGACTGCTTCCCACCCACAGGGAGAGTGAGGCTTTGGTATGTCTCATTGGTAGATTCTTCACTTGTCATGCTGGAGAAGGGGCGTTGTCTTACCTGAACGCCTTTTCTCAGCATGACGATGGAGAATCCACTCCCACCCTTAGGGCCAGTCAGGTCCTGTGTCGGGATAAGATTGAGCCAACACACGGAAACATAGCCAACAGCTTTCGCCTCAGTCGAGATTGGGAAAGGGAGGACCCAGGAAGAGAGGCGGAGCAAAATTGGCTGACTTAGTCTACGGGCAGAAGACAAGCAAAACCCATTGGTGGATTCTCCATCGTCATGCTGAGAAAAGGCGTTCAGGTAAGACGACGCTCCTTCCAACTTGTCACGGCCAACTTGCCATGGCTACCTCACCACAGCAGGACAACTCGGCACGGCCAACTTGTTGTGGGCCAACTTGCCGGAGGACAATTTAACAATTCAATTTAATTATTTAAAATAAATTAAACATTATTTTAATTTTTGTTGTTCACATTTCATCCTGTCCCTTCTTTTGCATCCTTTCTTTAATGATTGTATTCTACCATTTCTTTGATAACTCTTGTCCCGCAGCGAGTTGTCCCACAGCAAGTTGGCTATGGTGAGTTATCCTGTAGTGAGTTGGCTGTGGCGAGTTGGCCACAGTGATTTGGCCACGGCAAATAGTCATAGAGCCCTGCATTTCCCCATTTATGTAACAACTGTATGCTAGTGTGGCTGTAGTGTACCACTTTGGCAAAGCAATGCTGCACATGGCATAGAGATTAGTGGAAATCAGAATCTTTTCAACTGGGCAATCATAGGTATACTGAAAATAAGCTGCCTTGTATTCAGTGGGGTATGTGTCCTGGTGAATGCACATAAAATTGCAGTTGGAGTTTTATATATCCTGTGGGATGTGTGATCATGGATTGATGGTTTCTGGCCTCCTAGATATGGCACTGACTTTAAATTACTGTACTTTGGCACAGTACCAATAATTGAAACAATTATTTTGATAAGAGGCTGATATTTCCATCTGATTGCTGTACACATATTCATTGCATCCCTCTGCAACTGTTGTCTTGGTACTAAAAATAGAAGAACAGGGACTATTTTGGGACTGTTGTTTTCTAATGGACAGAGACTAGGAAACAGTTTACAGAAGCGTGGCTGTCTTGTTCCGCTTTTTTTTCTTTTTCCTTTTTAATCGTGCTTACTTCAATAATTTTAAAAAACAAATAGAATAATTGATATATTGCTGCCTTGTCAATATTTGTAGAAAGTTAGAAATAAGTTTTGTGATAAATATGTTATTTTACGTTTGCATTGTTCCTTTAAACAAAAGTGGACTTAGTTCAACAAATGTAGTACTTCCTTCGAGCCCTGGCATCTTTAAAAGTTGAATAATGAATGGACTATCTTCCAAAATAGACATATATAGATGCTTTCTTGCCTGTAGCCTTGCTTGCATCAAGCAAGAATCCTCTCTATGGCCAAATTCCATTAGGTTGTTGTTATTGTTAATTTCAATATTCAAACGATTATTTTATTACCAAAAATAAGTTATCATAAATGTCATAGTGCTCATGGACACTTGTTTTTTCAAACAGTAAATTCAATATTTATTTGTATTTTGGTTGTTGATTGTCATGGTGCTTTGCATTATATTTTAATATAATAAAAGAAAAAGAGAGATTCCTTTTCCAAGAAGTCTCTTGGAAGGAGCCTTTGGTCAAGGTTTAGAAAAAGGAATTGCTGAACTTTGCTGATACTGTTGCTGAAAATGTGGTGGTTAAAAAACAAGGTTCAGGCATCTGAAGAAGTTAAAATAGGGTATCGTGAGGTCAAGAAAACAATTTCTGACTGAACATAAACTCTGAATTACTTTATAAACAACAAAATGAGTCTCTGTGCTAAGTATGCATGTCATAGGCTGATTCAACATGCACAGTTGATCATTTGACTTGGCTGATAACACTGTTATTGCTGTTAAAAGATGGAATAGGCTTTCCAGATGTGTATTTGAATTTCCACAATTTCCAATCCTTTGGAAGCCTATCATTATCTAGAGTAGCGGTTTCCAGCCTTTTCGGCTCAGCAGACCAGCAGAGGTAATGGCAACAGAGGGGGGGAGAGGGAATGGTTATGTGCGCGCTCGCCCACCACTTCTATGGCCCAGTTTTGAACGGACTGCAGCCCAGCACGGGGCTGCAGGTTGGGGACCCCTGATCTAGAGCAGGGGTCCCCAACCCCTGATCCGTGGACCAGTACCGGGCCGTGACATGCCAGCAGCTGGTCTGCACAAACAAGCAAAGCTCCATCCACATGATGCAGGCAGCACACAAAACCACGCATCCTCCGGTCTGCGGAAAAACCACAGAACCGGTCCCTGGTGCCCAAAAGGTTGGGGATCTCTGATCTAGAGAATACTTGGTTGGGAAAGTTTGGTCTAGGCCATCTTAGTGTGTGTGTGTGTGTGTGTGTGTGTATTTGCAATAATAAAGGCCTTATAATCATTACATTTAATATGTAAAAGTATTGTTTACATATACTATGTTCCCGCAGTAACCTTTATTTTCTTCCTTCCTCTAGCATTCCCATGGTTTGGCATGGATATTGGTGGGACCCTTGTTAAACTGGTATACTTTGAACCAAAAGACATTACAGCTGAGGAAGAGCAGGAAGAAGTGGAAAACCTCAAAAGCATTAGGAAGTATCTGACTTCCAACACAGCCTACGGTAAAACAGGGATCCGAGATGTCCATCTGGAACTGAAAAACTTGACTATGTGCGGACGTAAAGGGAATCTCCATTTCATCCGTTTCCCAAGCTGTGCTATGCACAGGTTCATACAGATGGGCAGCGAAAAAAACTTTTCAAGCTTGCATACCACACTTTGTGCCACTGGAGGTGGAGCCTACAAGTTTGAGGAAGATTTCCGAATGGTACTTGAATTTACATTCTGTCTTAGTTCAGGAGCATTCCTACTCCCTATGGTAAAACTGCCAAATCAAATTTAGGGAAGTCATCTTTATTTTTGTCACATCAAACCCACTTTTTAGCTTAAATGCATTAATTAAGAGGAACATTTTACTCCATTCTCTAGCGTCTGGCATTGATACTGTAAGTAGATATATTTGGCCCAGACGTCACACATCTAGATGGCAGTGGGGCATAAGGGTGCTATTTTGTCATGTTAGCATTTGTGCTATACTCGGATGTTGTTGTTTTTTTAATTTGCATTGGAATTGTGATAAACTTTGTCCTGCTAAACTATACAGCTATCATCCTGTTTTATAGCAGGCTAAGCCTCTTTGTTTGCAGACCCAAAAGCAAAATTGGGAAACCTGTCATATGAATGGCTAGGCTGCTTCCGTCTTGATGATTCAGCAGTCATTTGGGTGAGCTTACAAACCTTTTAAGAGTGGGTTTTTTTAAAATTTCCTTTATTTTAGAGTTGGTTAGGTGGCTATGCTTTTTTCAGAAACCGAGCCTTATTAACCTCAATGTTAAATGATTTGTCATGTCTATACTCTCATTTTAGAGAGGATGATAGCTTTTGCCACCCTCGCCTAAGAAAATAGAATTCCCTTTGTGATTCCAAGAGTAAATATTGCTTGTGAGAAAAGCTATTGTATTTGGGTATATTTCTTACATTTGCTTTGAAGCCTTAAGTGAGAAATCTCTGGTTCTCCAAACAGTGCTACCGAGCCCCACCTCCTAACATTCTTCACCACCGACCAGTATCTCCTTTTACTCATTTTGCCTTTTCATCGTTGTCAATGAGATTGTAGATTCCTTGTCTACAGGAATGAAAAGTTACAGCGAGAACTCATCAGTTATGTGCCTTTTGTTGAGTATGCCAACAGCTTACAGTGTTCAGTATGTTTCTCATACTGGCTGCTGGCTTGAAGCATAAGGTGAGGCAGGTAAGGTGAGACATGTGTATCTCTTTTGGGGTGAGGTGGGGATTAGGTAACAAAAGCACACACACTTCCTCCCCCCATTGCTGTGTTTCATGCTTCAGGCATTCACCANGTTTAAATCTATCAACACTTTTTAAGCCTTTATTAATCATCTACGAAAGCCCTAGACATGCGTTTCAAATTGTACCTAATTCATTACTGGTAACGAATAGAGCATTCAACAGCAGGGATGGTAATAAGAGATGTGTAACCGAAGCCAGCCATGTATAGTTTTGTGATCTTTTTCTGGTTCAATTATGCATCGTTTGTATTATGCATGTAAGCATAAGAGGTAAGGAAAAAGCATAGGAATCTGAAAACAAACCAATTGTGCCTCTTGCTATTTTGTTTATTAGTTTAAATAATTTTGAAGTATAACCTTCATCGGGCCTGATTGAATAAGCTGTGTTCCGGCCGTAGCTCTTGCATTAGCGGTTGCTCTTTTCTTGTATCTCTTGTCTGTGCGTGTAACATCGCACATCCTCCCTTCGCTGAGTTTAGGGTCGGGCGGGGTATTTCCCCCCCTTTTTTGATTGACCGTATCTCTCGTATCCTTCAATTGTGTATTCCTGTCATCTCCTCCCTTGCCCCACTCAGGTTGTCTAGGTGCGGTGCGTTCTCCCCCTCCCTCTTTCTCTTCACAAATCCTACCCACGTTCCCATCCATCACCTGGGGCTGCGTGTCAGGTGCTTCCCCCTGTCTCCTGTCCTCGACTCCCTTCTCTCCATCCACGTGGCTACAATCTCCATAAGTACTGTCCCGTCCGGTTTCCACTATCTCCCCCCCCATTTCTAGTGCTCTTTGCCCGTATGCCGTCTCGGGAGCTGTTTCGCGTTTCCCGTTGACGTGGCTGGGCTGGCGCTGTGAGATGGGGTGGCCGGGCTGTCGCCGCGGGGTGGGTCGGCAAAGCCGTCCTCTCCTCTCTCGAATGCGACCGGGTAACCATCGCCCCAAACCGTCCCCTCTCGTCTCCGATCTTTCCGTATCTCCGTAATCCAGCCTTAATACCCCGCCCGACCCTAAACTCAGCGAAGGGAGGATGTGCGATGTTACACGCACAGATAAGAGATACAAGAAAAGAGCAACCGCTAATGCAAGAGCTACGGTAGGAACACAGCTTATTCAATCAGGCCTGATGACGAGGTCCAGGAGCCGAGTGCAGACCTTGATCAGCCTATAAAAGGACTCTCCTATTGACTAGCATTTTAAGCCCTGACGATGTCGCCAGTTTGCCGACGAAAGCTTGGTGATTGTATTAAACTTTTATAGTTTAAGATTTTCCCTGGTGTTCATGTTTATTTGCTTGTTTTGAATATATATATAGATACAAGAAGTAGTGANATAGATAGATAGATAGATAGATAGATAGATAGATAGATAGATAGATAGATAGATAGATAGATATAAAAACAAAGATACGATTCTTGGGAATATTCATTATAAAACAAAGCGACCACCAAGAGAAATCTATAAAACATATAGAAATCTATAAAACATATATATATATTGTCACTACTTCTTGCAAAACATGTCATGCAGGGTTTTTTTTTTATGATTGACCAGAGTTAAAACTTGAAAGAGGTGGTCCTCGACTTACAACAGTTTGTTTAGTGACCGAAATCACAACGGCACTGAAAAAAGTGACCTATGACCATTTTTCACACTTATGACCGTTACAGCATCCCCATGGTCACATGATTTATATTCGGATGCTTGACTACTGATTCATATTTATGATGGTTGCTGTGTCCCAGGGTCATGTGACCAGTTTTTGCAACATTCTGACAATCAAAGTGAACAGGGAAGCCAGATTCACTTAACAGCTGTGTTACTAATTTAATAACTGCAGTGATTCACTTAACAAACATGACAAGAAAAGTCGTAAAATGGGACAAAACTTACTTAACAAATTTCTCAGTTAGCAACATAAATTGTGCTAAGTCGAGGCCTACCTGTATGATCCTTCTTTTAAAACATTTTTAATTTTTTGTTCTATAATGATTTAAACAGTGAGATCTCTTTAAAAATAATACCAAAGAAATCTTTTCCCCTAATTCTCAGAAACGTAACATATCTTGACCAGGTAAATAACACTTGTTGTCAGGCAGACAGCATAGTTGACTTGACACTTCCTGTGCAAATAATTATTTAGTAGTCAGGTGTTGATCTATTGGGTAATTCAAATAGTACAAAGTCTTCTACCCTATGTTTTCAACTTTCTGCTGATTTTTCTGCTGTGACAACGACTGTTCATTCATTAACTTCTCTTCCAGATTGCTGACCTCCAGCTTCATAAGCTAGATGAGTTGGACTGCCTGATCCAAGGTCTTCTGTATGTGGATTCTGTCGGCTTCAATGGCCAGCCGGAGTGCTATTATTTTGAAAACCCTTCAGCACCTGAGCGGTGTCAGAAAAAGCCTTATTGCCTCGATAACCCCTTTCCTATGTTGCTAGTTAACATAGGCTCTGGAGTCAGCATTTTAGCAGTGTATTCCAAAGACAACTATAAGAGAGTTACAGGGACCAGGTGAATATACTATCTTCCTAAAAGAACTTTTCCCTGATGAAAAGACTCCCATCTCATTCTTGAGCTGGGAATTGGGATCCAACAACACAGTAGCTGAATCTAAGAGTTGCATTTTGGCTGTGGCTTCGGCACTATGAGCAACAGTATACATACTATTTTTTTATTTATGGATTACATTTCTATGCAAACTGTATCACTAATACAGCAGCTTACAATATAATAAAAGTTAGAAAGTGCAAAAAACAAAAACAATACATGAATATTAAAGAAAAGGTATTTTTATGGAATAGATGGAATAATCAACTAGAACTGTTAGCTGATTAACTAAGCAAAACCTGTAGAGAAATATGACTAAAACAATCCCCAAATCACTGAAATCATCAACTTGTTATACTTTCATATGTAGTCCCTGAAAAGTATATTTTCCCCAAATCTCAAATTTGTTATCTTCCCTTGTCTATGTATTCTGAGTTGGTGCTTTATGAAACAAATGAAAATGTGATGAGGATGATAGGGAAGGGAATCCAATGGCTAAGAGCCAATTGATTTTATTTTAAATTATTTTTATTCAAGACCTATAAGATTAAAAGTAGTATCAGTATTCAGATTAAGAGAAGAGATTCCAATCAAACACAGATGTCCAAATTCCCAACTTTAATGATGCCGTATACCTCTTTACCGTTTATTGTAATCTTTCATTGGACAAAAAAATTGTGAAAAAAAATAGTCGTCTTTCATATATAAAATCCAGGTGGATGTCTGAAGTCCCAAATTCTGTTTATTAGTTATTGTTCGCCTGTATCACACAAATTGGATGGACTGCATTATTCTTGTCCTTTCTCTAAAACAAGGGTTACCAACCTGTAGTCCACAGCACACTACCGGGCCGTGGGCTCTTGGGAACTGGGCCATGTGAGTGGCTGGCCAGTGCACATGGGTGTACATGCTTGCATCCTCCCACTCGTGCTAGCATCGCATGGGCACTACCAGTGCCGTGAGTGTTGGGCGTGTGGTAGCGTTGCCACGAGCACACCCCCACTCGTGCTAACGTTGCGGTGTCATGCGCTATCATTGCTGCAAGCGCAACATCCCCACTCATGCTGGAATCACGGTATTTTCCAGGTGTTAGCGTTGCTTGAGCATTGCGTGGGCACCCGTGGCCCCATTTACATCGTGCATGCAATCACAGCCCCATTTGTGCGCATATGGCCCTGGGCGCGTTCTTGCACGCATAAAGGCGCCTCCATCCTCCTGGCCTGCCCCGGGCCACCAACCCAGAAAAGTTGGGGACCCCTGCTCTGAAAGACTCTCTTCTTAGTATCCCAGTTTTTATTAGGATTTTTTTTTTTTGCTTCTAAGATAGACAGTACAGTTGGAGGCTGCAAAATAAAAAAAAGTATTGGGAGACTGCATGTAGGACATGGGTGTTTATCTTTACTGTAAATTATGGTTTAACACTGCAGGAATTAGTAGCAGTAAACTATTATGATCCTGTCCCTTTCCCTTTTGCACTTTTCATTTGAAACAGAACAGATTGTCTGTCTGCTTTGTACTGGATTTATACTCTGATAGGGAATAACAGAATTTTGTATGTCATATCTCCTATACTAGCATTCCCTTTCTCACCATACTTGCTTATTTAAACCACCGTTCATGAGGTTGCATATGTTGCAATGATCACTGTTATGTTGTGATGATCATTCTCTTGAGCAATAATGTTTTGTTTCCTGAATGGTTTTTTTAATTTTTTTTTAATTAATTTTCTAATTTTACATTTAAATATTTGAAAAGCAACGTGGCGGTTGAGTTGGTCTATAATTCAATAACATACAAATATCTTTAGTACAGATCTCAAACTATTACATTAAATAATTCCTCTCTTTTCCTCTTGGTATTTACTGTCTCATATTTAAATTAATACAATTCTTATTATATCACTTTAATAAAAATATTTTTGTTTATACATATCTTAGTTGATTTAACATTCAATCTTTTTCGACAATCAATGTCCTGGTTAGTTTTTCCCAATTTTTAGTTTCCCATTAGTGTTTAAATTTAACGTTTAATATTTATAATTTCCAAGTTTTAAATAACCCCAATTCCCTTTATCACAATACATCACAGGATCTAATGTTCAGGATACATGTCTTATCTAATTTGAATTCTCACCATCTTATATCAACCAATTAATGATACAATATCATGTTCTTATTTTCTAGTAATTTCCAAATATCTTAAATTTAGTAACCAAAATTTCTGTTATTTCAACATTTAATACTTCCTCTCTTTTTCTCTTAATATCTACTATTTCATATTTAAGCTAATAATTTTTATTTTTTTGCCACTAAATAAGAACATATTTATTATATTCATTGATACATTTTTAGCTTATGTCTATCTTAATTACCTTTACATTTAACCTTTATAAGCAAATCAACATTCAAATTTAACTGTTAATATTTATACTTCCAAGTTTTAAATGAAAAGCTTACTTTATCTCCACTCATTGCAATATCTAATATTCAGAATACACATTTTATCTATTTGAGTATATTCTATTTTAATTCTCACTAGTAAGTCAAAACCCCAATTTTCTTCAGTCTTATTCTAGCTTTCTTTCTTTGCCAAATCGTCTTCCATGTCTGTGCTTTTGAGTCATCAAATAAATCTCTATATTGTTATGTATGTTGTTTGACGTAGAAAAACTTTCCGGTTGCCATTTTTTTGAGAAGACTAACAAATTGCGTCTCTATTTTTCCATCTCGACGTAGTTGTCCTGAACCATTTATCTTCTCTTCAGTCTGTTCTACTTGATCCTCAGGTTTCTTCTGATTTATGTAGAAAGTCTTTTCCATTTTCCATATTGTCTGTCCCTTTTCCGGATTTTCCATTTCCATTTGTTGATCAGTTGAGTCTTTTGTCATAATGTTCAATTGTTCCACTTTTTCTGTTGTATTCTGCATAGTTGATTTTTCAGTTATAATCAAAGTTTGAGTTCGTATCTCTGGGCTGACATCTTGTTCTTTTCTGTAATCTCTTATTTCATCAGTGGCTGTTAGAATAGTTTGATGAATTGCTTTCAACATAAGAAGAATCTGTTCCTGGCCTTCATCCATATTCTCTTTGAAGTGTATTAAGTGACAATCAGAGAATAGAGAAAAAACAATTTTTTTGTCACTGAGTATGGAACACAGCTGGGCTTCTCACAACTGATGTCTCAAGGTTACATAGCGCTTATCAATTTGTCTGGGTTGCTGGGCAAGTCTCTTTTAAGAAATAACATGTTGCAATGTCAGATTTAGTCACAAGATTTCGCCTCTATTATTTAAAATTTTCTTTTAAATCCCAAATTCTTTTAATCTTTTCAATTTTGCTTCTTTTTATAAGTAAAAACCCAGATCTTCAATAAGGATTAAAATTCTTTTAGTCCACAAACTTTAAAAAGTAAAATTCCAATTAGGGTCAAATTATTCTTGCAATGTTTTAAATTCCTCTGGATAGTCAGTCGCCGCTGTTTCTGGAGGGAGGGGTAAAATCTCCCTTCCCTCTCCACAGGGGGAAAAATACTTTAAGCAGCTTTTGCAGGTAAAAAAAAATAGTTAGGATTTAAGAGAGGTCGATCTCACCCAGTCTCATCCGTGCTGCTTTATAGTTGACTGGTGGTAAGTGTGACTTCGGCTGTCTGCAGTCTAGTGACGAGCCATATTGCTATGGCCGGTCTTTCGTCCGCCGGTTTGGAGGGCTGCCCCAGATCGAGTGGAAGGGCTACCGCCCTCCCGCGATCAAGCGGGTATTCCCTCCTTGCTGGTTGCCCCTACAGGGCGACTTTCGGCCCTTTCCAGGGTCTCCCAGCGATGCGAAACTGGACGTGGAAGACGGAGCTTGTCTCCCAGACATCCATGGCAGCCGTGTCAGCAAACCGGAAGCATTGTTTCCTGAATGTTTGATTTGCTAGGCCATGAACACGAATGAAGAAAATGAACAGGAATGTTAAAAGAATTAAAACTATAAAATCAGACCAATTCCATGTCCATTACATATTGACATATATTTTTCTATAGGAAATTTTAGTGATAAAATATATTCAGTTAACTAGCCTATTCAGATTTATAGCTGTGGGATTTATGACAAGAAACATGATGTTTTTCTTACTATTAAATACACATAGTTGAGCAAAAATATAGGAAAGCTAATTTGTGGCTCCTGAAAACATACAGGGGAAAAAACCCTGAATGTTAAAAGCAAAACAATAATCAAACATTTTACCTGTTGCTTGCTTTTATTGACTGGTCTTATTTCTTTCCCATATTTCTTTCCCTCTTTTTTGCTAAGTATAACAATATCCCTTATATATTATCTATAGTAGTCTCCTCTGTATAATAGAAATATCAACATGGATTCAGTTTCCTATTATGTTTAATAAAGCTTTAAAACGCTTGTATAAAGGTACTGATAAAGTCTTCTGCTTAGCATTCTCACAACCAGCAGTCATGTAAGTTTTGAGAGACTAGCAACTTACATACAGACATAACTGGCCTAAGCACAGGTTCTACAGATACTTTGCCAAAGAAAAGATACGTCTTTTCTTTTGGGATACTCTTAACCAGACCCACTTTCCAGCTAGGAATCATTCAAACAAGCTGCTTAGATAATAAAAGCAGGTCTCATTCCATTCTGTCATTGAAAATCCCTCCTGCGCTACATTTTAGTAGATGTTCATTTAGTACAGTAAATATGCTATCTTATTTTAATATAGAGAGATGAAGTTTTTTTTAAACCGAAGAATAAAGCTTCAAAGTAAAGAAAATGTATGGTGCCTGCTTAGAGATAATTATTTCAAAATGAATAATTTCATCAGGAACTTAGTGAATATTTGCTCTCTAATGTTGCTGATCAAAGCATGACATCCGAACGGGAATTAAATAGGCACAGTTGAATAGATTTATAATGCAAAGAAGTAGATGTCACTTAAGAGAACAATTGGCTGTAAAGTTCTGCGTTTTTGTATGTTTCATATCGCCTGCTTTCATTGAGGTAGGAAACACTGCACAAATTAAGTCTATACAATCATCAATCTTATTGCCTACTGTTTTCCTTAAGTCTGCAAGCAGCCTCAGTGCCTAGCTGAGTGTAGGGGGCCCTGGATTATTTTGTAAAATAACCAATGTCACAATGATGGAAATTATCATTTTTGCCTTATAGTCTTGGTGGTGGTACATTCCTGGGTCTGTGTTGTTTGCTGACTGGTTGTGAGACCTTTGAGGAAGCTCTAGAAATGGCAGCTAAAGGAGACAGCACCAATGTTGATAAGCTGGTGAAGGATATTTACGGAGGAGATTATGAACGGTTTGGTCTTCAAGGATCTGCTGTTGCATCAAGGTACGCATGGACAAGTCACAAGAATGCAAATTCTATGCCGTCTATTTAAAGGTGTATTTTTCAACAATAGCATATTGCTTCATGTTAATCTAATTACCATCCCCTCATTCCATTTTAGTCAGCTTCAGCAATAACAATCAGGGATAGGAAGTCTTTTGCAGCCTGATGGCCACACTTCTTTGTTACAGCAGTGAGTAGTTTGACCAGGGGTAGTCAACCTTGGCTCTTTTATGATTCGTGGACTTCAACTCCCAGAATTCCTGACCCAGCTGTGCTGGCTCAGGAATTCTGGGAGTTGAAGTCCACGAGTCATAAAAGAGCCAAGGTTGACTACCCCTGAGTTTGACACTGAAGGTTGCAGTGAATAACAGGATGAAGACACAAAATGGGCAAGGCCATATGAGAGGGACGATGGGATTTTTGTGGGTTGTGAGATAATTTTTCAGTGCTTCAGTTGCATTTTGTGCATTGTAAACATCCAGTAAAATGCTAAATTTTGCAACATGCTTAGAACGGGTGTTAAACTGCCAGCCCGCGGGCTGGACACATCACGCGGAAGCTGTGCCCACCCCATTGCCGGCAATGGCAAAACAGTCCGGATACGTCATATGTCACATGATGTCGCGGATTTGACATGTCTGCTCTAGAAGTTAAAAGCAAGCATTTTAAGGCTCTAGATCAGGGGTCCCCAACCCCTGGTCCATGGACCGACACCGGTCCATGGCATGCAAGAAACCAGTCCACACAAACAAGTGAACTCCCATCCGCAGGATGCAGGCAGCACACAAAACCATGCCCCCTCCAGTCCGCGGAAAAACCTCTATCCACAGAACTGGTCCCTGATACCCAAAAGGTTGGGGGCTGCTGCTCTAGATGGTCTACAGCACGGGTGTCAAACTTGCCATGTCACGTGACATGTCGTGATGTATCGCGACTCTTTGCATTGCCAGCAATGGGGTGGGCACAGCTTCCGCGTGATGTGTCCGGCTGGCAGTTTAACACCCCTGGTCTACAGCTAATTATCTTCTGTCATAAGAATTGTTAAATATAAAATTAAAAATAATGGATTTTCACAGTAGCATTGTAAAATGAAATCAGAAAATCAACCAGCATCTGGAAAACAGTAAATTGTATTATGCATAATTCAATTTATCAGTGCTATTTACTCAAATTAATTGCCAAACTGCAAGAATGATTTACTATAGGTCTGGCACACCTACTTTCCAGATTTGTTTATTTATCAGGACCCCTACAGCTTATTTGTGATTATTGTTACCTGATTTTAGGAACCCAATCTGTGTACAGTAAACCCAACATAGCTTAGCTTGCTGATCTATATTTTATCTGAGAGGATTGGAATAAACACACTTCATCCAAATTTGTTCATAAGAACTTAAAAATTATGCTTGATCAGATCCAAGGCTCCTTAGTACAATGGCCTTGCTGGTTTTAGAAGAGTAAAAGCAAGATAATTATGCAAGAGCTATATCCTTCAAGAGCTGATCCAATTTCTTTTAGAAACCAGTCAGATGTATCTTGCAATAATACATTTCAAAACTTGACAATGCACTGTGTAAAGTAATATTTTTAAAAAATCAAATTCTGTATTCTGAGAATTTTTTCCATGTTACTTTCTTTCTGTCATGGTCTTCTGTTGAATCACTTTTTTAAAAAATTAAAAAGCCCCCATGTTGTAAGCTTTCCTCACTAGTACTCTTCAAATTCTAAATTATTTTCACTTGTCTTTTCTGTATCCTTGATTGTTTTACAATATCCTTTTTAAAGTTCCTCTCTGAGAACGCTAGAAGGTTAGTGATCTAGGACTCAGCTTTACAAACGCAACATTGATTCTTCTGTGATAATTTTTATATGCTTGATAAAGTTATATTTATTGATAATGAAGATTACCTGTAGTTGGACTCAATCAGTTCTCTATATTTGTATGTGAGTGTGTTTTGCTTCCTGAATGAATGACTCTGTATATCCCAGACAAATTCTTTAAAACATATTTTTAGAAACCTTGGCCTTTCTGAAAAATATAAGAAAGATCACATCCTCTAGTATTATCACACAGTTTCGGCAACATGATGAGCAAAGAAAAGCGAGAGACTATCAGCAAAGAGGATCTGGCAAGAGCAACATTAGTCACCATCACCAATAACATTGGCTCCATTGCTCGGATGTGCGCCTTGAATGAGGTGAGTTCATTTTAATAGCAAGCTATTTTTGGGTTACTAAGAAGGTTTGGGGTTTTGGTTTATATACCTTCTCCCACCAATGAAAATATTGAACAGTCCTTTAAAACGGGTATCCAACCTTGGCAACCTTTAAGACTTACGGACTTCAACTCCCAGAATTCCTCAACCAGACATGCTGCCAAGGTTGGATATCCCTGCTTTAAAGCATGTTATTCCATGATATGAACTGGCCCTACTGTTTTTCTTTTTTAAAAAAAATTAAAATGATAATTTTTATAGATAGTATGTCTTTGCTAAGTTGTTAAGAACTTCACCTAAGTAGAATGATCACTGTTCCTGAGACTTCTAATTCTTTGGGCCGGTAAGTGGAATTCTGTACAGTATTTGCTCAAGATTTACTTTTCAGATGTGCTGTTTTATTTGAAGCCTCCAATATTTACATATGGACCCCATCAAGTTAATGGTAGTGTTCAGTTGTTATTGAGGAAGTATAATCAGTATGATTTGCATGTTGTTTGGTCCAATGGTCTGAATTCTTTCCTATCTACATTTTAGAAACTTTGTTTTAGTCATAACAATTAGCAAGAGCTATATACCTTCTGACTTGTACTTTAGCTATAGCAGAGAAAAACTACACAATCTTTTAAAGATAAAGCCATAAGAATACCTGTTTATACAAGTGATACAATCTGATTTGATCATGACTGTATCAGAGCATTTTAAAGGTATGTGTGGTTAACTCTACATCAATGATTGGAAACTTCATCAGCTGAGACTGCTTTCCATCCTCCCAAGTCCTCAGATCTTCCTCAGTGAGGACTAGCTCAAAACAGGTTTTCCCTGCTCCTGGTGCCTAGAGGGAGCTTGTCCCAAGGAGCCTGATGGTAGCTGCAAGAGAGGAAAGTTGGAGCCTCGTTTTCTCCTCAGAGATATCACTAGCACTTACAAATTATCAGTATGGTATCATTGCTAGAATGTTGAACTTGAATGTGGGAGATCAGATTTGGTTCAACTATAAAGATCAGTAATTCTTCAAACAAATTGCCATTGGCGTAACGTATCCCAGACAGTAACTTTTAAATTTAAAATAGATGCTGTGAATAATAGCGATTTATCTTACTGCCCACTGGTAAAACCTAGCAGCATGTAGATTCAATATAGAGCCTCTCTATGACATTTTTCAAGTCAAAGGTAGTAAGGGAATATATGACAAGAGGAAGGAAGATACAGAGCAACATCTGGCATATTGTCAAATAGTTTGATGGTTTTGAATAGGTTAGGTGAAGTGCAGGTGTAAGATATTAGTATATCATGCTGAGGACCTGTGTCTGTTGCTTCTATGTATTGGTGACCATAAGCTTTTAATATTCCTGAATATTTTACGTAGGAATATCAGTGGAAGCCTCTGCAATAATAAGTGGTCCCGATCTTCCTCTTTGCTTTCAGCTTCTTTACAGTGTTGCCTTGTGGCATGGAGTTCAAGCAGCATTGTACAGGGCTATCAAAGCATAGAGAGTTAACTGCAATAAGCAACACAGCTTTCATTTCATATAAAGAGACCTAGTGAGAACTCTTAATATGACCTCTTTAGTTTTGAAAGATGATTATTGTTATGGAGGCTTGTGAGAATATATGTGAATGGGATTCTTTATATTTCAGACAAATTATATATTTCTGTTACTATCTAATTTCTGTTTGGGGAGCAGAAATTGACTGCAATTTTAGATATGCATTCCGGTGATCTTTGGATCCCAGCAGATTTTTGCAAAAGTCTGGAATTCATGAGATTTTTGCTCATTTAATGCAGTCTTTTGAATTCTGCCTTTGAGTTCTTGCTTAACAGCTGTTTGCATAATAAACTATTAGCAAGTTTAATATAGTATTTAAGTTAGCAAATTGGGAGCCTTGTCAAAGAATAGTTTCTAGTTTTGTAGGACAGATGGAATTTTGCTGATTTTGCAGTTGTGGCAGACAATAGCTTGTTCTTATGATGGACCATGATTGACTTGATTTAGTGATTAAAATGAGACTGTATAAAATAACTGAGGAGAGTGCAAATGAGCATGTGGCTTGAGCATTGATTTTCCAAACATATTGGGAGAAATCTAAATTAAGCCTATGCCTTACAATACATAGTTGGAGTCCACATTGTGAAAATTGTGAGAACTGTCTGTGCAGCATCTTAATTCCATAGTAATTTCACTTCAAGAAACTTTTAACTGTGGTCTGAACTCAGGGACTGTTTTGAGTTTGTAGTTGTTTTTCTAGTGCATCCAAATAATGAATCCACCTAGTAATACCTCATTAGATTCATTGGACCAAAAATGGTGACTCTAATTTTTTAATGTATAGTAAACACTATAGTAACGTGTTTAGAAGTATTAGTAATAACTTATTTCAAGAAAGTTTCTGAAGCAATATTTTTACTGACTTTATAGTAAACCCGGGCTAAACTGGATCACAGAGGACACACTTAGTTGACAAGAAAGACAAGCTTAAAATATGCATGATTAACACTAAGCTTTGTCATGTTAGCACTTCCAACATTTCAGAGCAAAAATAACTTGCAATAATTACTAAAAGAAGCTGATGCTTGTTTAGCTACAAGCTTGAGTGATAATTAATTTTTCCTTTTTTAAAGGTGAAAAAGTATTATCAAAATAAGGATTTCACTGCAGTTGGTAGTGAATTATTCTTTCAAATATTGGTGAATTTCAGAATAGTCTTATTATAGAGGCAGAAGAGAATAAAGATATTTTTGATGTGTAAAATACACAAGAGTAAATAGTGATGAACCCAAAGGTGCTTTTTCAAAAGGCAACTGGACTTTGTTTTTCCTTAAAGACATTTCATTTCTCATCCAAGAAGCTTCTTCAGTTCTGACTGAATGGTGAGGATGGAAGGATTTATATTCCTTGCAGTCATCTGGTTGTTAGCATTCTTTCTGAGAGTCATTGAGACCACCTGGAGGTTTATCTGTGCCCTCAGGGTCACCTGAATAGTGCAAATGAGTGTGGAACCTTCTTGGAACTACCAAAAGAACTGTGTTGTAAACAGAAGATAGGTGGTGGCGTATCCCTCCTATTTTGCAAGAGGACTGTTCAAACTTAATGAAGATGGCCTCTTTGACCCCTTTTTCAAGCCGGCAGTCCTTTCTGTCCAGAATGTGTACGTTGCTGTCTTTTTTTCCTTTGGTTTTTGTGGTATAAATTCATATCTTTGTTATAAGCAGTCATAGAACTAATTTCTAGCTAGTCTGTTCCAACCTGTGCACCTTTCAGAATCCCTCGGTTCTTATGGCCATTGTAAAAAATATGGAGAATTGGAGTCTGGAAGGCATATGGAGGAAGGCTATCACAGGGTTTTGTGTGTATGTGTAGTGATGGTGGTAGTATATTGAAATTCTAGTAAATGCCTGGAGATTCCGTTCTTTCTTTACCGTCAGACATTTTCTGGTCATTTCAGTGATTAGCATCACTGCCAGCAACAAAATTAAGTTTAATTCTCCGTGATGAGAACAAAATTATTTCTAGTTTCAGTAAATTGCACAAAGCCTCTGTGGCTTGGTAAAACTCAGACCTTCACACAATATTTATAACATTTGTTTAATACTTGGGGAAATGCATTACTTCAGAAATGAGAATAGTATATTGAATTTGATAAAGTACTTTAGCTGTCAGGTGCAAAAAACAAGCTTATTCATTGCTACTTGCCTATTTACAAGAATCTCACCAGATTAACTGCACTCTCTTGAGAACAGCTAGTTAAGGACCCAAGGGATATTTTTTTGGGGGGGGGAGAAGTCATGTATCCTTCTCCAACTCCCCCAAGCTACCCAGACTCTTAACTCTTCCTCCCCATTTCAGCTGCAGATTCTACTCCTTCAGTACAGATATGGCTAAAATAATTGTTTTGATAAACATTTTCTAGAATGTACTAAATTACTCATATATTGTTTAGATGATCCACTATATTTAGGAATCAAAATTAAGTGCTCACTGGATATATATGATCAGAATTCTTTCCAGATGACCTATAGTAGAACATTTATCAATGAAAAAATAGTCAGCTCTATGCATGGTTATATAGAAAGAAGTGCTGTTAATCCTGAATAGTTACTCTTCACAGTTCATTGATATGCTGGAGATTATTCTCCTAATCTATAGAGATTGGCTATTTTTTTAAAAAATAAATAAATGTAAGATTATGTGATGGTAAATAATATATTTGCTATGTGTCAGTGAATAAAATGAGTCTTCGATAAACTTTATATAATAACAATATTATTGCTTTTTAAATTTCTTTTTCATGTTGCTTGGTTTACAGAAAAACATTACTTAGGATCAGTTGTGTTACATAAACAAGTTCATCCATTTTGGATTGTCCATCTGAGGTCTTATTGTCAAAACACCANCAAAACACCAAAGGAATATTTCAACTTTAACCACTTTTGAACATTTTTCAATGTATAACGTTGAAAATAAGATCCTTTTAACTGCACATAACTCACCTATTTTACTTAAATTTCACAGAATATTGATCGAGTGGTGTTTGTAGGCAACTTCCTGAGAATCAACACGGTTGCTATGAAGGTGCTAGCCTATGCCATGGACTATTGGTCAAAGGGACAACTGAAAGCTCTCTTTTTGGAACATGAGGTAAAAACCATTAAAAAAGAAAGCATTATATTTGTTAATATGGTAATGAATGTATTTATGTATTAAGTTTGCTTGCTGCTCATCTCATTGCAAGGCGACTCTGGGTGGCTTACAACATCAATCACTTACTGTCATAGCTATCATTATTGGTAATTTTCACTCAAAATCAGAGGTGGGGAACTAGATCTCCTTTATGACTTATGGACTTCAGCTCCCAGTATTCCTGAACCAGCCATGCTGGCTCAGGAATACTGGGAGCTGAAGTCCATAAGTCATAAAAGGGCAATAGTTCCCCAACCCTGCTCTAAATCATGAATGGGAAAACAAATTAATATAGGTTTTATAAGGAAATGTCTGCATAAAGCATTTGTTTTAGTAAAGTTGTGAGGGCATCTAGGAATATTAGACAAGAAAGAACATTAGGCTTTATCTCCTTGGGTTCTTCTAATGTAAGAGTATTTGATCCAGCAGAGACTATACCAGTGATGGTGAACCTTTTAGAGACCGAGTACCCAAACTGCAACCCAAAACCCACTGGGTGCCGTGTGAGCATGGCCCATTCGGCGAGCGCAGCTACAATGGGCGTGGCAGACTGGGTGGGCGTGGCAGACTGGGTGGGCATGGCTGCAGTAGTCATGGCAGACTGGGTGGGCATGGCCAGGGTGGGCATGGCCACCTCAATGTTGCTCATGGGGAGGGACACCTGTGGGGGCCGGGCAGGGTTGGGGGAGATCCAGGGGGTCTCTGATGGGTGGGACGGTGGGCAGGAGGCTCGTCCTGTGGGGTGAGGCAGGGGGCAGGGCAGGGGTGCCATTGCCACAAGGCAAGGCGGGCTGGAGCAGCTGCTGCCTGACACCATCGGCCCCCGCACACAGCGAGCGCATGGGGGCCAACAGTGTCCATCAGCAGCCACAGCCTGCTCGCCCCTCGACCGGTGCACTCCGGGGCTCCGCAGTCCACTGCCAATACCGGGCCAGCCCTCCAGCAGCAGGCAGAGTAGGGGAGGGGGGAGGCACGTGATGCACCTACTCTGTCCCATCTGTTTTTGCTTGCGGTTGGAGAGCAGGTTGCTGCTGGTCATCTCCTTGGCCCCCTCGCAGATCTTGCCCTTGGCCCGCACGTGGAGCCTGTTCCCCTTGCACACCCAACGCACCTTAGCCCCGCCTTGGGCCGCCAGCACCAGCAGCTCGTGCAGGTCCATTAGGCTACCACCACTGCCTGGAGCACCTGGCCCGTCCAGCACAAAGGAGGTGAATTGGCTGGCTAGCAAGCTCTAGAAAAGGTGGTAGAGCACACCCATGCCCATGGCCCCCCAGTCCCAGCTAGGCTTGTGTGCCTCCCCCCATCTCTGCTGGGCCTGGGCGGCCATGATGCCGATGGCTTTCCCCGCTCGGTGTGGCCTTTTGCCTGCTGGCCCTGGGCGTGCTCTACCACCTCTAAGTGGGGCTTCCTAGTTGACAGCTTCACCTCCTTGATGCTGGGCGGGCGTGCAGCTCTGGGCAGTGACCTAATGGACCTGCGCGAGTGGCTGGCAGCTGTGGTAGGTACTGAGGTGTGCAAGGGGAGCGGAGAAAAAAAACCCTGATCCCACGTAAAGTGGATTATTTTCTCTGCCATACTTTTTAAATTTTAAAGTTTACTTGCTGGCAGCAAAAAGCCTTGGAGAGCAGAGAACACCCCCCCCCCCCATATCCCACGTAAGGAGGCTTTTCTCCTCTCTCCTTGGCATTTTGCTCCCAGACAGTCTGGCAGTGAACAGCCAAAGGGAGTGGAGAAAAAAACCTGATCCCATGTAAGGGACAGGATTTTCTCTGCCATACTTTTAAAACTCTCTTTAAAGATTACTTGCTGCAGAATGTGGATCCTTCCCATTCTGCTGCATCAAGTAAAACAGTCTGGCAGCGAACATCGAGTGGAGAGAAAAAATCCGGTCTCAGGTAAGGTGGAGTATTTTCACTTGTCAGGAGCAGGGGAAAACCTCTTTTTTTACTAGCGTGCATTCATATGCATCCAACCGCCTTGCCTGCTGCAAAGCCAGGTTGCAGCAAGAAAGGAAGGGATTGGAGGCACGTGAATGCACGCTAGTCTGGCCATTTCTGAGCCGGTTCTCTGAACTCAAAATAAATTAGGTACCAGTTCTATGGAATGAATCCCACCACCGGGGTGGGGGTTTTGTGGGGTTGTTATTGACGGGCAGTAAGATGGTAAGTTCAAGGAGGCCATCGTATTCCATTCAGCCATGGGTTAGCTTTTCCGTGATATAACTCTTGTGTTTTAAAAAATGGTTTAAAGGTCGGGGGAAAAACCCAGTGAGAATGAGAAGCACCCCGCCATCAGCCACTACTTTCCCCACCCCACCCCAACGGAGCGCTCCATCGCCGCCACCGCTCCGACCCACCCCTCGCATGGAGTGTCCTCCGGCCGCCCCAACCCGCCCCTGGCAGAGCACCCTTTCATGCTCTGTTTGCAGGGCACTGTCCACCATTTCTTTCGATTTCCCTTCTTGCCGCTGGATATTTTCCATCCATTCCTATGAGTCAGGGCTTTGGGTGGAGATCGGCAACCTGCGCCCACCAGGCCCGCCGCCCCACACGACCATTACCGCCGGCCACCGCTGCCTCTCCTGCGACCTCCCCCGTGTCTGGGACACAGCCAAGTTTGCCACTGCCGGCACTGTCCCGTCCTCACCCAGCGCCAGGAAGGAGAAGACCCACTGGAAGTAGCGGCCGTTTGGAGGTGCTGCTGGAGTGGCAGGCACAGTGGGGCGAACCTGACCAGCTCCTACAGGTTGCTCCTGACACGACCAGCTCCTACAGGTTGCCCGCCAAGCACAGCTGCAGCTTATCACAGAGGGACAAGCTCCTCCTCCGCAAGGCCCCGCCCTGCCCTCCTATAAGCGAGGCACATCTGCACTGCTGTGTGGGGGGAGGGGGCACCTCCCCAACAGCGGCTCCAGGCTGGCTGACCTTAGGCCAGTGTTGGCAAACTTTTAGAGACCACGTGTGCTGGGGCGATGCCGCGTGCCCACAGAGAGGACTCCGCGTTCCGCCTCTGGCACGCATGCCATAGGTTCGCCAACACTGGACTATGGAAATAAACTCCTATTAGAAAGCAGTAAGGAGGCTGCAATTAATCTGCTTGTTTTAAAACAAGTTCCTTTTTATTCTGTGGAACTTCTGAGATGGATGGGTAGGATTGCATTGCTAATTTTCTACCTTTCCTTTGTTTACAATTATAAGCCACCCAGAGTTACCTTGAAGTAAGACGGGTAGCCAGTAAATTTCACAAGTAAATAAATAACTAACTGAAATCTATTAGAAGTCATTATCAGAATAATTAATTGATATATCCTGTACCATGTAAATAACAGCAACTTGTTTGTACTAGAACTGTGTGTGAAATGATGCACAGATGACATTGTGTGGCAGTCTTGGCAGAAGTGTGTTTTGTGCAAGTTCAGCCGGTGTGTGGAACAGCCTTGCTAAGCCCTTGAGGGGATGCACTGTGGTAACACTGAGTTCCTCAGCAGAACCACAGAATTACAGAATGACCTTCTGAAAGATTTTGCACAGCTCTAGTGTATATGGAGAATTTTAACTTTACCACACACTTTTTTTCCTGCTTGAATTATTCTGAAGAAGATTATCTTTTGTAACATGTTAAATTTGTGAACAAGCTTGTGCTGATGTTTTGGGTTGAATGTTAGTGGTCACAGATGGAAAATTTGGTAAAAAATATGAATAGTTATTTTTTTTAATGAATCAGCTAATACTAAGAGGGGATTTTTTAAAAAAAGAATAACCTCTTTGGGTTCTGTATACCTATTTCTCACATCTAATATTTACTAATTGACTGGATGCATACAAATGAGCTAATACTAATTTTTTTCTCTGTGATTTTGTGTATTTTCTTTCACAGCCTTAAAAAATATTCCCAGTGTTAAATTTGTTAAATATTGCAATAATTTAGTTTGGATTTGTTTTTGCTAACTCCTCCTTTTCAATCATTTTGAAGGGTTATTTTGGTGCTGTGGGGGCTCTTCTAGAACTGCTCAAAATGACTGACGATAAATGAGGAAGCTTCTAGAAGCTGAGGGAGCCGTCAAAGCTGCTTGAAGGATGAAAGCTGCTAGGAAGATGGGAAAGAAGCCACGATAGCTGTTCTACCTGCTGGATTTGTAAATACTGTAATAATTTAAACTTATTTTAGCTGATCTTTTAAATTTAGGGATGGACATTAACTTCAGACTTTGTACCAGGCATTTTTATGGGGATACAACATTTTTAAGATAAATGTGCAGTGTGGCCAATTTTTATGGATTGTGTCTAAAAAATAGGCACTGAGTAGAAAAAGGACCTAAATTATAAGACACTGGTATTATTATTATTATTATTATTGTTATTATTTTCTTCTGGGGTTTACTGATCTAGTGTGATAATGATTCATTTAGTAATCGCTCTAGGAGATTTTTTTTTAAATCTTTCATGACGTTTCATGATTGCTGTTGGTTTCAAATGAAACCGCAAAGCTGGCATTTAGTGTGAACACTAAAATAATGAATCTTGCTGCCTTCATTCTATTAAACTATGTTCATCTCCGTCATAAATTAACTACCTTTGTTTAGCTGTTCATGTCAGCAGTAGTAAATAGTACTTTGAGATGTGTCATCAAATCTACTGAAAAGAAAAAGAATACCTCATTTTTTTATTATTATATTTACAACTTAGGAAAATTCATCTATTCAGTACTCATTCACTGTACTTTGGAAATCCTTATGTCTAGTTCTCTTAGCCGAACACATGTGATTATTGAATAAAAGAATGGTCAGAGTTGTCTGGAAGGGCAGTAAATGACACGTGAGATGATATCATCATACAAATTATGCAACTTATGCACGTGCATCATGATGTCATTGAATAAGCCCTTCATTGGGACAGCGACTTCATGACTCGTCTGTCTTCCTTTTGTTGTCATTGGGACTTGTAATGGACGCTTCTGGATGAGGTATTAAACATGTTGCGTAATTGAATGATCTTTCTCCAGAACAGTAGTTAAAATTCCTCTGGACTACATATTCAAACTGTCTCTATGTAATTTTTTTTTATTGCAAAAAGAAAAAGAAAAAATGAGGTACTAGTGTATACTGTACAATCCAGAAACAGGCTTACTTCATCTTCATTTGCGAAAAGTCAACTTTGAAGGACAGTAATTTTTATGGTAAATAAATACATAAATTGGAAGATTTGCTATGCTACATGTTTAATATATATTGAAAATGTCAGATATGTCATTTTTTTGTCCACAGTTAAAAAGTCATACTGAAATTAGCCAATGATTGGTTGTATTAAAATTATAAACACATTATTATTTACTGTATTAATCTCTTATTTTTTGTTTTGTTATGACATTCTACAGGGGCCATTAAGGGACAATATAATTTTACTGAGTAAATATCCTCTAGTAAAATTGGAATTTTTGGGAATAGATATTTGATTTCTTTACCTTGAAACTTTAAATACATTAAAATACATTCACTTTATCACTTTTTTCCTTTTTTTGGGGGGGGGGTGTCATCGAGTTTTGACACCTTGCTAGGCGACTGGTGGTACTCGGATATTGCCATATCCTAAAAGTGGTACAATGGGTGAAAAGGTTGAAAAGCCCTGCTCTAGGAAATGACATCTGATGAACCTAGGAGGCATTTCTTCTCTGTTGTGGCTCCTGCCCTCTGGATTTCCCCTGAGGTTCAAACTGCCCAGATTCTGTAAGCCTTTAAATGATTTCTGAAAACCTGGTTTTCCCCAAAGCTCTGGGATAAGTCTTGGTGTGTACATTCGTATGCAATATTTGTTCATATCAGGCATGTTTGTTTCCTCGTGGGATATATTACAGTATGTTCATTTCTGTTAACCGTATTTAGGTATTGAAACTGTTTTTAATCTGCATGCTGCTCCTGGTAAATTTTGCATTGGGAAGCTTTATAAATACAGTTTTGTTTTTTGTTTTTTGCTTTAGCAATATAATTTTCTCCAGAGAATATAAACACACACAAACGTTTCCCATCATTGTTAATCAGGGCCATTTTGATCACACACTTCACTTCATGATTTATTAGTTCTTAGTTTTTGCCCTCAGAGCTTCAGATAGCAAACTAATAATAGCAAGAGATAGTTTGGGCTTCTTGTGAGATTTTCAGTGAAGGAGGTGATGGAGGGAGTTGGCCTTCACTCCTCAGTATCATACAGCATTTTCTCATTGGACAGTGATTCCAATTTGTCATGGCCAACATGTGACCAGCTGTGAACCACATGCTCTCTTACGACCAATGGAACACTTGCAACCACAACTTCAGGGATCCAGATGGTCTGAACACCAGAGGAAGTGGAAGATGACAGAACCAGGTGCCTGATTCCTTCACCATCCTTTGCCAATGTATAGGCAGTTCTACTTTTCTGTTTCTATGCTGGTTTCACCAAATACTACCCCCTCCATACCCCTCAAAGTCCCTGTTATCTTCTCCCCAGAGATCCTAAGGAAAAGATGTAGGTATGGTGCCTAATTGTCTCAGTGTTTTCATAAAACATTTACAAACCCATCTGTGTCTTCTAGGACAGGACTTTTCAATCTTTTCACCCATTATACCACTTTTAGGATATGGCAATAACCAAGTACCACCAGTCGCCTAGCAAGGTGTCAAAAACCTGATGACCAAAAAAAAAAAAAGGGAAAAAAAGGGATAAAGTACAGGTAGTCCTTGACTTACAACAGTTTGCTTAGTGACTGGTCAAAGTTACAATGGCACTGAAAAAAGTGCCCCCAAGACACCTGCCTGCCCACCTGGCAGCGCTCTTTCTCCGGTCCGAGGTTTTCATTGTGAGCATTTCTGTTGAGGATTGACAGCGGGGGTGGGGTGGGGAGGTGTTTGGTTTTTATTCCCCCTCCCGTCTGCTGGGTGGTTGCAGCAGGTTTTGGTCACTTCACATGACCCCGGGACATTGTGACCGTCATAAATATGAATCAGTTGACAAGCATCTGAATGTAAATCACAAGACCCTGGAGATGCTGCAACATTCCAGCTGATCGGCGCTTCTGGGCTCAGCAGAAGCACCAGGATCAGTGCCGAGCTCCAGCTGGAGCCTGGCGCTGATCCTGGCACTTCCACTGAGCCCTGACAGCCCTGCAGCTCCAGCCATCTCTTGCTCAGGCTTGTACGGTGCTGCCACTGGTTCAGCTCATTCCCCTCCCTCGCTACCACTTTTCTAGGATGTTCGCGTACCACCTGCCAGGTGCCAATGTACCACAGGTGGTACCTGTACCACTGGTTGAAAAGCCCTGTTCTAGGAGACCATCATCATGTTGCTACATGGTTGTCCATTTCCTCCTTTACAAAAACACCTTAATATAATTTTTATGTCTTGAGCCAAAACATTATTTGGCAGAAAAAAATAGTTCCCAAAAAGGATCATTCTCCCCTCACCCCCAAATAGGGTCTCTCTCAAGGACAGATGTGCTAGGTCTCAAACCAGAATCTCCTGGATCAACTAAGAAAGCTATGTATGTGTTTAATTAGTCAACTTATATAGCCATTCTCCTCAACACAATACTCGGGGCAACATATATCATCAATATTGGAAAAATCAATAAAAGCTACATAATAAAATACAAAAATTCAAAGGAACAATACAGAACTGAAGAAGCCTCTTGGATGAAAAGGGAAATGTCTTCTAGGAAAAAGAAAGCCCTGTTACCTATTTAAAAAAGTAGCTTTAGGATAACCATGACCTGGATGACTGAGAATCTCCATAGAGGATTCCTAGATCCAATTCTTGGGAAAAAAGAATCAGGTCTCTCTTTTTTTTGGGGGGGGGGTGTATGTGTGTAATATTTTATTAATTTTTCAATTTTACATTTAAATATTTAAAAGCAACATGGTGACTGGGTTATAATAGTTCAATAACAAAATCTTAGTGCAGATCTCTGGTTACAACACTGAATATTTCTTCTTTTTCCCTTAACATTTACTGTCTCATATTCAGGTTAGTACATTTCTAATTATATCGACTCAATAAGAACATTATTACATTTATCAATAGATTTTTAGCTTATACATATCTTAATTACCTTCAATATTCATAAACAATTTCCTGTTATTAATTTTACTCAATTTTTAATTTCTTATCAATATTCCAATTTAACCTTTAATATTTATAATTTTCAGACTTTGGATAACCAAAATTTCCCTTATCTCACTTCATAACAAACTATAATATCCAAAATACATATTTTATCTATTTAAATATAATCTTGTTCTATTTCCTAAGAGTTACCGATTTACCATCATATTTAATCGTTCTACTTAATAACAGAATATCCCCTTTAATAATCAAGACTATTATATATATTGCCTGGGTTAATCAATAAATCAAACATATTCATAATATTAACTTTCTTTTCCCTTTTAAGTCCAATTTTTAAATATTAAGCCGATAGAATCCTTATTTTCAACTAGTTTCCAAATATTATAAATCTAATAATCAAAATTCCCCTTATCTCAACATCTTCCTTTAACCCTCTAATTGGCAATATAAAATCCCCTCTAATGAGTCAAAATTCCAGTTTTTTCTTTTTTTTTTTTTTAATATTTTTTATTATTTAAACCGACAAACAAAACAAAACATAATACACATATATACACAATATATATTTTAACATCAACTTCGTGACAGTATTCTTCTATTATTTACATTTTCCCCCTTATTCTTTTTTAAAGTATTTATCCTTATTGCCCCATTATTTCTTATTTGCATTTTTCTTCCTTCATACATTATTATATACACATT